GGGTGTAATAATTTGAGGATTCTTCTCAAACCACATATTTGTTTTTCCTCACTTGAGATTATATATTCTCCATTTACAGGTATTTAACAAACTGTGTATGAACTAGGCATATTAGCATGGTTTAGCCTAAGGATGCTAGTCAAATTTAGATAATTTTTTTTCAAGTATCATGGTAAAAGATGAACAAAAATGGAAACAATATTGAGCTAGAAAATATATAACTTTATCAGCATTCATTTAGTTATTAATTGAATCAATTAAAAGCAGTGCAAACCTTGGGAAAATCAATGATGAGCTCTCTCTTAATATATATTTCTACACTCCTTGGTTACTATGAGGTTTGCAATTAACAGTAGTTATTTCTGGTCCAAAAAATGTAGCCAAAATTTCAGCTTGATTTAGCAAATGTATTAGCTACTTGTTATTCAGAACTCAAAGTCTCCTACTTTCTACACCAAACTGGCTCCCGATACTACATTTTAAAATATAAGTAACTGCCTATTGGTTGAAAGGAATACTTGCTAACAGTGCACATTAAAAGAGAATTCTTTGTTTCAGATTCCAGGTCTGGTTTCTAACAATGAGTCATTTCTTTAATACCATATGCATTATTTTAGTATTGTGAGATTAAGGTATTCAACTTTTTCAGTCAGAAAGTTGTGTCTTTATTTTCTGCAGTAAAGGGAGAGGGCATTTATCCATCTTTCACGTTATTTTTCCTGAGTAAGATTCAAACAGCTTTCTTATCCATCAATCTCTCTTAATCAGGGGATAATTTTGTCCTGACTATACAGACACATCACAGCATTTCCAATGTATATATATATATATTAGCTCCACTGTTTACATACATTCAGAAAAATAAATGGTATATATTTGTGTGTCTAATTTTTAAGCTGAGGATACTATTTCACTCATTTGAATTCACAGCAATTATTTTATGGCATTCCAAGCATTTATTAGCAGTCAGTTATTCAAAGGTATAAAAAGTCATGCATGAAATTAAAAAAAAATTGTAGGACAGGAGTAAATTAAAAAAAAATCTGCATAATAAATACTATGCTGCTCTCTACTGGAAGAGAAAGGTTTACATGTCTTAGATATCTGGTTTAATTGTTTAAAACAGATTTCAGAATGGATTTAATTAAGTTCTGCAGTTTTTAATATGAACATGGAAAGTTATAATGTTGTGAACAATAACGTATGTGAGTTGTTGTTTACATCCATTGGCTCAACAAGATCTGTCCTGAATAAAGGAGAAAAACAATATGGAAATATAGAAACAATTTCAGTACTGACTATGTATGCATTTGACACCCTCTAACTTTGTTGCAATGTTACTAGTACACATTTAGATCTAAATGATCTATTTGTCAAGAGCGAATCTCTTTCTACTTTCTACTCTGAATTTTCAGAGTAGTATGATGTTGCAAATAAGTGATTCCAGTATCTGAAGAAGGGAGAGGGGGTCAAAATTAGTAAAAATGAAATGATTATAAATGTTATTGAGTACTTTTATTTTTATCCTACATCTCACCAGATAAAAGATAAATGGGCTCAGATATCATGACTTCTTGGGAGTGATCTTAATATATACTTTCTAAATTGTTAAAAGAAAAGTGGAGTGTTGTGTTATGCCCCTAGAACTTGCTAATAGTCTCAGTGCTAATATTTTTTCAAAGATTTTAAGGACAATTATATTGTCCACTACTTGGCCATAATAGTGTTGGCTGCATTAAAATTAAAAAAAATATCTGATTAAATTATTTTCCAGGAAACATATGTTTTTCAACTTGAAAAAACAATTGTAATTCTGACTCGGAATCCAAATTACTCATTTAATGTGGTTTTATTATGGGAGGCTAGTTTATAAGTCTACATGTTTAAACTATGGTTCCTTTTTTGATCACTTTTAAACAATTTGAAAACCAATTTTTATATCATTCCTTATTTATTGGTGACTATTTTATAATGTACTATAAAAGTTTGTTGTTTCTTAGCAGTTTTATTTCAATTAAAGATTTATTGTTAAACAATGAGGCATAGCTAACTAAGAAGATGTGTGTTTATGGTGTGTGTGTGTGTGTGTGTGTGTGTGTGTCAGAAAGAGAGAGAGTTTTTTCAGACAAAAGTATTGATTATAAGATATATTGGGGGTAGCAGGGTGTCTGTAGCTTTCCAAGTACTGCTAAGCTGCAGTTCTCTCCAGTCCTAGTTAGCCTGACTAATGGTGAAGAAACTGGAAGTTACAGCTCAGCACAAGTTACTCACTTCTGCTTTGTTTGGTCTATTAAACTACTGTAAAATTAATCTGCTAACTTTAAGCAAGTAGCTCAAATACTTTTGAGCACAGAAGTGATATTTTCTGTACTTGCAAATGTGCTTAAAATTCAGTAGTTATGTCTTTGTAATGCAAACTCACAGATTTAAATCCCGAAGAATGTTCAATATGGTTAGGCTCTCTATCCACTAAGGCAGATTTAGGGACAAGAATCCACCTGCAGGAAGTGAAGAGAATTAGTAGAAACCTAGCTCTCAACCTATGAAGGAGCCAAGAATAATGAGGCAACCCAGCTTTTCTTTTTCATAAGTCCATTGTAAGTCCATTGGTAAGACATCTAAGTGATGATATGTGTAAATATTAAATATTCAAAATTAATGCCTTGAAATGCTATTACTAACACATGGCAGTTATTGCTGATATTTCTCCTACACTGATATTTTTAGTATTGAACATGATTTCCTTTGCAACAATATTTAAGTATTTTGCTTTTCATTTCCCTGTCTAGTCCATAGCCATGGGGTTCCCATTTCTCATTCAAGTATAATCAGTCCATGCCATCTTAATTTTTTGAAAACTTAGCAACTTTGTTACTTAAATTATCCCAGATCGATAGCAAGTATATAAACCTGTAGTTTCCTAGGTGCTGCTTTTTCCCTTTTCTCTCTATTTTTCTGAAAGTCGCCTAACAATGGGAGGTCCGGGAGATATAAGCTTATTATAGGTTCAGCATTGCCCTTATGGCCAGTAATGAAGTGTGACTTGATTTGCAGAGCAGTTTTCAGTAAGGGCTATACTTCCAGTGACCAGGTAACAGTGAGCATACATCAAGGAGAGGAAGCCTATCCATTCCTGATGCCTTACACTCTTTGAGCAAAATTCACAGCTCACAGTAGCCTCCAAAAAGGTAGAGAAATTTCTGTTGCAATTATTTTGTTTTGTGCAATAAGTACAGGACATTTTTTCACTGAAGCAGGAAGGATTTCATTGTTCTCACTGCATGGAAAAAAGGAGCTATTCTAGACCCCTTGTTACAAAAAAAAAATTAGTTTATTTTTTTGGGTGGGGGGAGAGAAGCATACATGAGCTATAAGTTCATATGTTTGATGCAAAAGAATGCTTTGCATTCTACTTACAGCACTTCTTCTTATAAAAATGCATAATGTCCATGGCAGAGATAGTCCAAGTGTTTTTCTTTTTGATCACCATTTGTATCAAGAGAAAGTTCTATAGTAAGCAATGGTGGTAGCCTTTAGGCTTATGTACCACCTCATAGTGCTTTATAGCACTCTCTGGGCAGTTTACAATGTATTGCCCCCAACAATCTGGGTCCTCATTTTACTGACTTTGGAAAGATGGAAGGCTGGGTCAACCTTGAGCCCCATCAGGATTGAACTCCAGATTGTGGGTAAAATTTCCCTGCAATACTGCACTTTAACTTCTGTGCCACCAGGGCTCACTATGATGGTGATTGCCAATCTTTGTGCAAATTCAGAGACATAAAAAAACAGCACATTATATTAGCTCCTATTATGGCCATCTCATCTTTATTGCCATCTAGTCTACATAGCTGGGAAATATTAGAAGCATAAAATGTGAATGGCAAGTGGGTGTATATAGCCTCGGGTTTATGCCAAAGCATATCACACAATCCTTTTTGCATCCACTGCAAAATTTCTGCATGAGTTGTTCAGCATGGCCCGTCATTGATTAACTTAGTGCAGCAGTTCTTATCTTCTGAAATGAATAACAATTGTTTAAATGAAATGCCTACATTTCTACAAGTCAGCATTACTATAAGCCACTGCAGTGGTATTGCTGAATGCTGCTTGCATTTTATCTTAATCCTGAATGTTTGTTCCAAAATAAATGTAATAAATTCTGGCACAACACCATAATTTATGATGAAGTTTTGCCCTAAATACAATGCTAGCCCATCATATTTCTCATTTGTCTGTTACTGTTGTGATTCACTGCAAGTTGATAATATTAGAAATATCAAATTGTGGGCAGAGTCTGGAATTGGGTAGGTCTAATTTAATGAAGAGAAGGACGAGGGGGGACATGATAGCAGTGTTCCAATATCTCAGGGGCTGCCACAAAGAAGAGGGAGTCAAGCTATTCTCCAAGGCGCCTGAAGGCAGGACAAGAAGCAACGGGTGGAAACTGATCAAGGAGAGAAGCAACTTAGAACTAAGGAGAAACTTCCTGACAGTTAGAACAATTAACCAGTGGAACAACCTGCCTCCAGGAGCGGTGAATGCTCCAACACTGGAAGTTTTTAAGAAGAGACTGAACAGCCATTTGTCCGAAATGGTATAGGGTTTCCTGCCTGAGCAGGGGGTTGGACTTGATAACCTACAAGGTCCCTTCCAACTTTTTTATTATAATTATTATAATTATTATTATTATTATTATTATTATTATTATTATTATGTTTTTGTAAATATTGTGGCAGGTCATTTGTGGTTGAAATTTTTCTTCAGTAAAGTTAGGATTTCTCCAAGTTTGGTTTGCCAGAGGAGACAATTATGTGCAGTAGCAGTCAAAAGCATATTCGATGAAAGAAAAAGATGTCCCATTAGGTAAAATATTTCAGTTTAACCCAAATTTGTCTTTCTGGTTTAAAATCATACAGAAATAAATTATTGGCCAGTTAAAATACTAATTAGCTATTTCAAAGACTTAAAACTTTTTCTCACAAATTACAATGTTTCAGTTTCTTGGCAGTACAGAAGTGGAGCAGCCCAAAGGTACAGAGGTTGTAAGAGATGCTGTGAGAAAACTTAAGGTAAGGACATTTTTAAAATACAATATTTAATTTTTTTGTAATGTCTAGGTTGTAAATGTGTGTCTGTAACTGAAGTACATTGTAAGATCCAATGTGAGTCGGTCACTGGGACCACAGGTTTATTTTTCCAAGTTTTTGAATTTGTGCTGGAGTCCATTTTCAGGGAACGTCTCTCTCTCCAGAATGAAGACACATTCTGGAGACAGAGAAGTTCCCAGAGGATGAGTCTAGAACAAGTCCAAAAGCTTGGAAGAATAAACCTTTGATCTCAGTGACCGACTCATATTGGATGCTACAATATTATCCTGGGACATGTGTATTTACCTTTATTCTCAAAGTACATTGTGTTCGTTTTCAAAATATTAACACTGGATTTTTTTAATAGTGTAGTTATGTTCATAGCCCTTGTTTAAATTGTGGAATCACCAAATCTCTGTTTTTTTATTTTATTTTATTCTCTCTACCCCAACATACAGGAAAACCTACTAACAAAGCAAAGTTCATTGCAGCAAATAAGATCAAATAAGAATTCTTCCCTCCAATAGAAATATCTCAGTTAGGACTCTGGGCAAGAATGGTGATTGAAATCTCAGTACATTGGTAATTCATACACAATCCCTCCTTTTGTGAATAGCATTGCATCTGTTTAATTCCTCTAATATGGATGTACTTTAATGACATGGACAAAATTCAATATGGGGAAGGGATCATATATTCCACATTCTTGCAACGAATAATGTAATGTGATCCCAGACAGCAGCTAGAGAAGCTATAAAAAGGGATTCATCTTTTGCCTTTTCAGCTATTTTTCATCTCCTGTTTCTTCCTCTTCCTGACACTGTTCTAGGGATTCCTACTGAAAAGCAATAATTGAGCTGGGGATCAAATTGCAGAGTCTGGTCATCTTTATAAACCTAAATTATTTTTCCATATAACAGTGGGTAAAAGTCTGGGCAAAAAATAATTTATTTTAAATCTTCTATTAAAATGTTCAATGAGCATCACACTGTCCATCTTTTTACCTACCTTTAAAAATGAAAGCTTTGTTGTGGATAATTTACAGTATTGGTATAATATTGTATAATATTTCTCTATATATTTCTAAAATATATTTTCTGAAAATGAATTCAATTTCTCAGGGGTCTGAGAAGTTCTTTCCTTTGTTAGGAAGCTCCTATGTGTCTCTTAGAGAAAGAGGCATTAATTTTTCAGACTCAGTAAGGTGTACCTTCTGTCTCAGGTCAATGAGCTCTGTCATTGGAAGCGTACTCTTAGCTATCTTGGGATCATTGTTATCAGACATCTCTTATTAAATGTGAGTCCCTTAGGGTCCAATTATTTGTGAAAGTAGCGAATTCTTCTTCTACATGAGCTCTCAGAGAGAAATCTACTTTGATTTTTATAGTCTAAAAGGGAACATAGCAAAGCACTATTTTGGTGGAGATAGTGGATAGAATATGGAGTGCATACTGTTGAGCAATTAATTGCTGCAGCCTGTTTATCACTTGAAAAAAATAACCGTGGGAATTTTTATAGATAAAACAACTTATGATGTCAGGATAATAGCCTTCAACCTAAATGCTTCAAAACCACCTTTGTTTGTAGTAATTTTAATGGATACACATACTGTTATTTATATGTAAATCCTTTCTAAATTATACTATGTTAGTATTTAACTTAGGCATTCAGGAATATAAGCAAGTGTGGAGTAGGGGGTTAGAGTATCTAACCCATCCACGACAATGGAAAATTCTTTCAACATCCGTAAGTCACTTTTTATAGATGTGCAATTATTATTCCAATAATCAAATCCATAATCCAATAACCCATTTTTTTTTGTATCTATTAGATAAATGTAGCTCCAGCTTATTGTTGGAAAATGTGGATTTCAAAAATGCAGCACTGATACTTATGATGTAGTCTTGTGCTGTAGTGGCTCCTTTTTGGCTAGCAGTTATTTTAAAAATTAATTTTGGTTTGGAAAATTGTTTGGCTTTTGTAGATGCACATGGGATTTTTTTTTTCTACGCTATATATTGGATAACAGCAAGGTAAAGAAAATGTCCATTGCTTACTTTTTCAGTGACAAAAAGATTGATTGCAAAGATGAAAGACATATATTCTCTGTCAATATAAAGTTGACTGAAGAGCTTTCAAGGGGAACTTCAGCAAGATTCTGCTGTTGGAAACATCCTCTTGACTGTTCTTCTATTCTAGCCTTCTCTTTTGAACATCTTGTTTCCTGTGGTCCCTTTTACTTATTTATTTTTCTCCCTGCTCAGTCTACCTGACAATGTAAACAAATTTCTTGTAAAATATTATATAAACATATGTATAGAACTAACTGAATAGTTTCCAAGTGATGAATATACAGGTCAGTTCTTTGTTTTTCTCTTTTCCCCCCCCCCCATTTTGCAAACAGTTAAAAACACTGAAAGGTCATAATTACAATATAATAAATAATCATTTATTTCAAAACACTAAAGGTTAATTGTGTGACATGCAGTTGAAGCAGCACCTCCTGCAGGTTTTAAAAAGTTATGTATCTGTCATTAACCTCTATTTGCAGCACAATAATCTATCAGGTTTGGGGAAGATTGTCCCAAGGGAAAGGGATCGGAACAGAGAAGATCCTTTTGCAGGCTCCTACTTCATCCATCCTAGAGGAAGGGGATTATTTACACCATGTCAACTTTGCTAGTTTATATTCAGTGGGCAGCTTCTATAAGATAGATAAGTCATATAAAGTTTTATAAGTAATTATCAGCTTCCTGAGGTGGCCTTGGAAGCAAATGTATAACATGATCACAAATTGCAACATCATACTGTATAATCATGGTGACCTACAACAGCAGTTGTGGCAGACTCAGTTGCCATTGTTAGGCAAACCCCATGTGGTTGCAGCATCCCATGGTCATGCGATCACCATTTGTGACCTCCTGCCAACTCCCACTGACTTTACTTGCCAGAAGCCAGCAGTTAAGATTCTAAATACTGATCACATGACCACACGATATCATGACGGTCATAGTTGCAAGCTGATTTCCAAGCACTCAAAACATTACTATGGGGATGCTGCAACAGACCCAGTTACAAAGAAGTAAATCCCCTCATTCAGTGTTATCTTAACTGTGAATGGTCACTGAATGAGATGGTCATTTAACGAGGGCTACCTATATTCCCATCCAGAGTCAGTGATGTACCTGTTCAGGAAAGCTTCTGAATCACCAGCTCTCATGTCTTGTCAGGATTAATTCTAAACCTCTTTCCCCCCAAACTCCCAAGCTTTTGAAACAGTAGGTCAACATTTGTAGGGTATTCTGTTAAACTTTTCTTTCCCTAGACTGCATCTGTCATGGTTCCGACAGATGAAACTCATCAAAGAACTTCGAGGCATTGTTTACCTTAAGGAATCTTTATTTGAGTAGCATAACATCGGCAGGTACATAAGCAAAGCCAAAAACTGAATTCTCCTCCCCTGAGCACATAGTATCAAAGCACAATTCCTTCCTCTAGTTAACTGTCATAAATCATGTTCTCCAATTAGTTTAAAATGTTGGCTTTCCCCCCAGTTCTTCAACCCGCCATTTCTTATCATCTCTTATTTCAAAAAACTTTGGTTCTCACCCTCATACAGTATTGTTATGTCTAACTAAACTCCCATGTACATTCCTCATCCTCCCCCCCCAAGTATCTTTTAATTCTAACTCTAAGAGTAAAACATAAAGTAAAGGAAAATGGCTGCATCTCCATCTGTTGTCAAAGCAAGAACATCCGATGTTAGCAGCGTTGACAGCATCATTCAGGAATTTCTATAATTGTTATCACACTCTCGTCTTCAACACTTTCCCCAGAAAGGGAAGGATTTTGAAGGGAAAGATTTAGATGGACAGAAGTTGTTCATATTGGCTAGATCAAAGATTAAGATTTTGTAGAAGTGACGCATGGTTGCATGCACTTTCAAGGAAGCCATTCACCACTTCTCAGATTCATTCACTTTCTGGCCACAAAAAAAGAGCCAGAAAAGGGAAGGATCCAACCCACAAAGTCAGAGCTCATGGCATAGAGAACTTTCATCACAAGCACAGGTAAAACCAACCAACAATGAAATGTAACCCTAATCAACGCCGCAGTCTGTCAAGACAGCATGCAAATCCAATTAAATAAAATCCAATACAACTTTATTTTAATATCCCTTTAAATGGAATAATAGAAAGTGACCTAAATAAAAGTGCTGGTGGTTTTCATAAAACTATTACAGTTTTGTACAACTCTTATGAAACCCAGCTGGGTGACTTTGGGCCAGTCACTCTCTCTAAGCTCAATCCACCTCACAGAGGTATTGTTGTGGGAAAAATAGGAGAATGAGTATTATGTAGGTTTGCTGCCTTGAGTTATAAAAATAATATAAAAATAATGAAGGCTATATATAAAATAAAAACAAAGAAGATCTACATTTGGGCAGTAAACCCAGATGCTTAGGTTATACTATACAGTGTATATTATTAAGAAGAAGGTGTTGGTTGATCTAATAACAGAATTGAATCTCAAATATTATGGAACTTTTCTTTTATGTGTTTGAACTCTATGGGCCAATTTATGTTTGGCAATACTTGTATACCTGGTTGCATGGCTAGAAGACCACAGAAATTGGGAAAAGGATATGTAAAGATTTGAACTGTTATCTTAAACTTTAGAGTTAATAATCTTGGACCTGGGGATGCAACTGAAGAAAAAAGCACAAAACATGGTTTGTGTTACAAGTAACTCTCTTTTGATTTTCTAAATTAGAAAATAAAAGAAAATTTCAATTAAATTAAAAGCATAGAACTTTATTAATAGAAGGAAATTAATTATAGTTCTACTGTCAATTAAAATGTTTCATCATTTTTACCTTTTTAAAAACTGTTTAGTGCTTTTGGACTTTTTATCTACTTAAAACACCTGTTTCAATAAAGGCCATGATGCTTCAAAGAGCTGAATGCACATCAAGAGATGCTTACATGTTCTTCACTTCTGTTAAAATGGCTGTGAAATTTTGCATTTGCTGAAGCATTGTTCAGTTGTGAGTGCATTATGTTTATAATTGGGGATGTTATAATCCCTTATAATTAATTTAATTCCACAGTCAGAGATAAACAAGTTAAATATATAAAAATGTGATGTTTCCCTCATTTATACTGTGCATTTTTATTTTTACCAGTAGGTGGGGCTGGTGTTCCACAGCAAAAAAGAGTCTGAGGAAAAAATAAGTTTTTTCAATTTCTTTACCAAATTTTAATTTATCTCTAATAATCAGCATTTCAGTTACTATATTGCTACCAGCCATTGCTTGGTTCCTTGAAAAGTTTCATTGCATAATCTATAATCCTCCTGCTGGAGTATTCAGTTTTACTTGGAATACTTTCTATTTTTTCTGTACATAAAGATTTTTTTTCTATGTATTAAACAGAACATAAATCATAAAAATCAGGGGGCCATAGATGATCAGAGTGTAGTAGTTCCATAAGTGTTTCCAAAGTACTCCATCTTTCTGAAGTAATATTTTCCATAATTTTAAATAGTAAATACCTGAAACAGGATATCAAAAATTGGCTTCTTAAAATATGTCAAGGGAAGTCTACCCCAGTCATAAATCAGAGAGATTGTTTGGCTGCAGGTGGTAAGTTTTAATGTTTGGGAAAGTACAGAATGGCACATGGTCTAGCCCACAGATTTAGCCCAGTTAAAGGGATACATTTTCAATCTACCACAGGTATAGACAAACTGGAATTCTCCAGATGTTTTATACCACAGACTCCCATCACCTTTCTGGGACTGTTCAGAAATGTAGTCCAAAACAGCAGAAGGAGACTTGATTACCTCTAATTTCTTTCTCTTTGCTGTTCTGCTATCATTCAGAGACAACTTTTCAGAAATGGGAGGCCTGCTGATATGTTGCATTTTCTCCCTTTTCCAAATGATTTTCTTTTTCTTTGCAGTATCAAAGACTGCGGTAACATTTCTGCATCTTGTTTTACTTTCCACTACTTAAGGGAAAGGCTGGGAAAATAAATCAGCTTCAAAAGATAATTGGAAACAATGGAACAGGATCACTAATAATAATTTGGCATCAGTTGTAACATCAGCTTTCCTTTGTTGGTAATTAATATAGGATGTTATAACATCTATGACATTAGAACATTTTTGTACTCTATTAAATTTTGGGAAACATTTTCTACAACAGAACTTTGCCAGTACAATCTTTCTTATATACCAGACTATAAGATAACGTTTGTTTTTGTACTGTTCCACCACAACTCAGCAATTGGTCTAAGCCCAATTCTAAGCATAGGAAAGTAAATTGAGCACTGATTAATTACTAAATTACAGAGACAGTGTTACAGAGGAAATAAACAAATTGAAAGAAACTCTGGTGACTATGGAGATGGTCTTAAAGTTGGAATTCAAAAGTCTAGGTAAACACAGGTTGTCCCTGGAAGGGAAAAATAAGTGGGAAAGAAACTCAAGATTGTCCCACCTTGATTTTCTTTTTTGGGGGGGAGGGAGGGAGGGAGGGAGGGAGGGAAAGAGAGAGAGAGAGAGAGAGAGAGAGAGAGAGAGAGAGAGAGAGAGAGAGAGAGAGAGAGAGAGAGAGAGAGAGAGAATCACTATCAGGTTTGCAAGATTGTGTTGTTATACTCTTTAACAGAGTTCGAGTAATTTCCTGATGTGGCCAACCTCCCCTGTCTCGAGTATCATCTATGGAGACCTTGGAGGCGTGCCTTCTCTGTAGCTACCAATGCCTTTGAAATAGTCTCCCACTTGAGATTAGGGGACCCTACTCTTTTACCCTTTCAGAAGGTCACGAAGATCTGGCTCTTCCTGCAAGCATGGAGCCAGGATGGGATTAAGTCAAGTGGTGACTAATGTATCTTGTTATGGTTTCCTGATGGGAAGACTACAATATATAATATGTTTTTATTGATTGCTAGGATTTTTATAGATGCCTAGGATCACTATGAGATAGGTAGACATAGAAGTTCTTTAAATAAGAAAAAACCTGGAAGAGCTGACAGATTAGAGCCAACAAATTATCTGTTATAAATTCTGTTGAAGTTCTGATTGATCTGAAGAACATAGAAAAGGCCTGACCAATCATTTCTTCTGTCTAGCAGATCTTGATTGGTTCCTTAATATCCCAGTAATATCTGACTTCTATATAGACATTCTCATCTATTGCCAAGATTATATTTATGAGGATCACCTATCCAGAATGCAAGGGGAGATCTCCCATTCTCTTCTTTTTTTGGAGACACTTTGCCAACCAGAATTTGCTGTCTGGCTCCTGATCTCTGCCACAATTACATTTGTGTGTGTGTGTGTGTGTGTGTGTGTGTGTGTGAGAGAGAGAGAGAGAGAGAGAGAGAGAGAGAGAGAGAGAGAGAGAGAGAGAGAGAGAGAGAGAGAGAGAGAGAGAGAGACTTTTATTTCTTATATTGCATTCTGCCTTTCCTATGAATGTGGATGTGACAAACATCTCAGAAGGGACCCTCCAAGTAAAAGTGGGAAGATGGTGGTGGTAGAAGATGTACTTAGAGAGTTGCAAGATTCTTAGAATAAAGAATTTAGAATAAAGTAGAGCTAATACTTCTGGGTGTGCTTGTTGTTTGGACTATCTTGCAAGGCTGACAAGAAGTTTCAATGTCTCGAGACCCCTTGATAGTTTTGATAATCACTCTACCCTTCTGGAATATCTGGTAGGATTAAACCCTGAGGCCAGTGTTTTTCAATAGTTCCAATCTATCCTATTAAGATATATCCAGAAATTCATTTTTGGCCATGAGATTTCATAATTTGGCAGTGGCTACTATAGGTTTGCAAAGTGAAAATTCTCCAAAAAGACAGTGAGCCAGTAAGCTACCAATCCCAGGAATTGTGGGCTGAAAGAGAGACACATTCACAATCTAACTCTGTTTCCTAAGCTTTTCCTATAAAAATAATTTAAAGAAACTAAGTATAAGAGAAATTAGTATAAATATTGGAATAAACAGAAAGGCAGAATAGAAATTATATCAGAACTAAAAAACTGACAATGGAAATCCCAGCATAAGGGAAACTGCTAACTCATTGTACTATAAGAATGTAATATAAGTAAGAACTTTAAAAAATATGATTATTTTTTTCTGATTTTCAGTTTGCAAGACATATTAAGAAATCTGAAGGCCAAAAAACACCAAAAGTTGAGTTACAGATTTCCATATATGGCGTAAAGATTCTAGATCCAAAAACAAAGGTAAGAGTCTTCTTATTTTTCTTTACCCCTTAAAATTCTAGCCAAGGCAAGATAACCCGTGCCATAATGTGGTTACAACTATATCTTTTTTATTGTCATCCAGTAACTTGTTATTTGTTTTAAGATAGTTTTTCAAAATGAAATAAAAATTCAGATATCTGATATGAAATCATTTTTGTTTCTTTCAGAAAATGAATAAATATGCAGCATTCTATAATTGATTACTAGAATACTCTGAGTCATTATTATTATTATTATTATTATTATTATTATTATTATTATTATTATTATTATTATTATTATTATTATTTAAATTTATATACTCCCCTATCTCATTTTCATGTCTACAGTCAAAACACAAGTCAAATCATAATCTTCTACAATTAGAAATAATTTAAAAATTAAAAGCTATCTTTAAAAACAATAACAAAAAACCGAGAAGGCTCTATATGCAATTTATCCATTTAATGGGCTCCATACTTCCTTGGGATTCCCAAGCCTGATTGCACATTCAACTTTTACTGTAAAAAAACAATGGTGATTAATAGAAGGTAGAGTCCTGCATCTGAAAGCAGACAGTGAACATGTAAACCGCTACCTGAAATGCTGCTACAGTCAAAGCTATTTAGAGGGCATTGGTAATAAGCAGTCTCATGTTTTTCTAAAAGGGTAACCAAAATACTTATTTTGATTACTTTATAAATGGTTTAACTGGGATGACATAATTTAATATTCTGCAATATTTCACATTTTACATTGAAAAATTATGTCAGTTGGGAAAATATGATGTACAGTAATAACTGTATAATTATTAACGCAGGAATTTTAGTATCATACAGCAAAAGAATCCTGTGAGCAGAGTTGAATCTTCTCAAGTATCTATAACTGAGCCCTGGTGGCGCAGTGGTTAGAATGCAGTACTGCAGGCTAATTCTGCTGACTGCCGGCTACCAGCAGTTCGGCAGTTCAATTCTCATCAGCTCAAGGTTGACACAGCCTTCCATCCTTCCGAGGTCGATAAAATGAGGACCCAGACCGTTGGGGGCATTATGCTGACTCTGTAAACTACTTAGAGAGGGTTGTAAAGCACTGTGGAGTGGTATATAAGTCTGTGCTATTGCTATTGCTATAATGGAATATGTTGTGTTTTTGTTTCCTTGTCTTATGAAACTGAAAATTAGATCCAGATTACCTTTGCAATTGTATCTAACAGTGCAGCTGGAGTAACATTGACATCCACAGCTTCAGTTGTTTTCATTAGGACAAAAGCAGAGTTGTTACAGTACAATCCTGTTTTCGTCAGGCTGACCATTTGACTCTCTGTGCAGACACCACTGTGCACAAAAATATATAAATTCAGTATTAAAATCAGTATTGAGGACTACAAGAATAAAACATATTCTGTTTTGTTGTTTATTAAGAGGACTTTGCTTCATCCTGGGCGTCTTGAATAAATAGTATTCAGCAGTCAAAATGTAATTCCAAGAGGTAATTGCACAGTTGTTATTTGCAGGAAGTCCAGCACAACTGCCAGCTCCACAGGATATCATTTTGTGCTGATGACAAAACTGACAAAAGAATATTCACTTTCATATGCAAAGATTCAGAATCAAATAAACACTTGTGTTATGTCTTTGACAGTGAAAAATGTGTAAGTACACATAGATTTTTAAAGTGGTTGAATTTATTGTTCTTTTATATTGAAAGCTTGTCTTCCCCCCCACTGCCTTTTTTGTAAGAGCACCCCCTTTGCAAAATACTAACTAAAATAAATTTATGATTGTTCTTTTTGTTTTATCTATGCTCTCAATTTCTATTGTTCTATGCTCATACAGATATGTTTGAATATCATAGAATCAATCCAATGCTATTGCTAAGAGGTCCAATTCTGCATTGAATGAAAGTGATACATAACTTAAAAGTTGATTGTGCCAGGAAATGTGTCAGGAAACATTCCAAATGCATACACAAATTAGGTTCTTAGTTATCTAGAACAGTGGTTCTCAACCTTTTTAATGCCGCGACCCCCAACCGGTTGTAAGTCGAGGACTAAACCGGTCGTAAGTCGAGGACTAAACCAGTCGTAAGTCGAGGACTAACCCGGTCATAAGTTGAGGACTACCCAACCGGTTGTAAGTCAAGGACTTTCCCTGCCCGGGAGCGCCACGCATGCGTGGTTCCGACCCCTGCGCCGGCCGAGGCGTAGCTGGCAAGCGGCAGAGACGGAGCAGGCCGACCACCAGCTGGCCCAGCTCAAGGGAGGTAAGGCACCCGCCGGAAAAGGGGAAAAAAATGGCGGACAGCCTTGCTTGGCGACCCCCGTGAAATGGTCGATTGACCCCAAATGGGGTCGCGACCTATAGGTTGAGAACCGCTGATCTAGAATGAATTGTTGTAATGTTCTGACGTGTTCCTCAACATTATATAGATGGTGAATCTATATGAGCCTTTATTCTTTGCAACATTACCATTGCATGCTAATGGTAAGACTTGTTTTATTTCAAGGCAGAAGAGATCACTTTAACTATTGGCCAGGCATTTGACCTTGCTTACAGAAAATTCCTAGAATCAGGAGGAAAGGATGTTGAAACACGAAAACAGATTGCTGGATTACAGAAAAGAGTAAGTTCCATAGTCTGTCTCAGTTTAACAAATGTCTTATGTAGATTTATTTTTTAAAAAAAGAAACACTGTTATTGCTATTCCATATATGGAATAAAAATCTTAGTAATTTTATAGGACATTTATTAATGGAATACATATAATTATAAATCCCATTCAAAGTAATTAAGTTATATGTAATTTATTTAAATGGATTCAGCTGAATTATTAAAGTGAAATTGTAAGCGTTATGGCTGTAGAAGTACAGCTCTCTCAGAGAAAAACTGTAAACCAGAAAATGGGGAACAGAGTAACTTGACAAAAATTAAAACAAAAATGGAAATGAGAAACCAGTGTGGTTTTTCACTGTAGGAAATAGGGGAATAATCTGTTTGCATAAAAGAATAATAATATGGCTAAATTTTAACTTGCACGCAGAATGAATGAATGATATCTTAATTCTTGTCCCTCTGCTGATAGAAGCTTCTTCAACTCAGTGGGGGAAGATGTGCTTTGATCATTCTCATTCTTGCCTACAACCTTCTGTATTTTTCCAAATCTGTCTCAGAAGATTAGGGGACTTGAAGAAAAACTGGCAAATGTGTCTTCCTGTCTGAACGTTCCAGCAACAAAAAGGATCCCAATAAGATTAAAAACTGAGGGTTTCTGTTAATTTTGCTGAACGTATTTATGTATCTATTTTGTGAACACATTGGTTGTATGGGAAGCCATTGGTGAATAATATATATGTATATATATGTGATAAGGCTGTATTATGGAAATAAGTCTTATCCTTTCTAGTTAACTTAAAATATACTTCCTTTTAATCAGTGCAGTAAATTAATATTGCATACAAATATGATAAAATGTTGGGACTCTTTTAGTGATGATGATGTAAACACCAGAAATACATCTTGCTTTTGTAGACTTATTTACTAAAGATAAATGCTGTGTTCCATGATGATTTATTTTTATAGGCTTATTCAGTCTAGTTCTGATAATGTATGCCTTTTTCCTACTTCGATACTTTTTTCTCAGATTTTTCTGATACATGCATATTTTTTCAGATTAATGAGTTAGAAACAGAAAATCTAGAGCTAAAAAACAAGGTGCAAGATTTGGAGAACCAGCTGAGAATAACCCAAGTACATACGTTGCCAGTAAGTACACTAAGCAAAAATGTTTCTCTTAGCAATTTATGCTTCTATTTTTGATTTTAGTTTTATTTCAGTCATAAACCAGCATAGAACTATAACATAAGAAAGAGAAATATTTATTAAATTCACTAAATTTATTATGCTGCTCATCTCTCTGTACAAAGCGAGTCTGAGTGGCATCTTTATTACTTTATAAATAACTCAAGGTGGCTAAGATACCTAATATTCCTTCTTTCTCCTGTTACCCCCACAAAACGACAACCTTGTGAGGTGAGTTGGGCTGAGAGAAAGCCCAATAAAGATCAAAGACGACTGAACTCTGCAATTAACAATAGTGTTTACTTGACATGGAAGATACAAGAGGAGGCGTTTGTTGAAAAACAAATGAGAGGTTGATTTCCAGCAGTGGAAGAGGTGCCATTCTGATTGCGACAATCAGCAAAGTGCTTATAAGACGTTTTGGCGCTATCTCTTATGGAGATACCTTATTTTTTTTTTTTTCAATATAAAATTTTATTGTTTTTATCATAAAAAAAAAAGAAATACATCACAGATATTACACAATGTTATAACCCATCCCCCCACCCCCCGGACTTCCCAAACCAACCTAGGCTAATATTCAAATACAAGTAAACAAATATTAATATCTCTAACTCCAAAGTCTAAACTTAAACAATCCATCTCCTC